GGGGATTCTTGCTAGTCTTTCTGGGGCTTTTATTTTGTTTACATCGATTATAGAACCATTGTTTAGCCCTTGGTGCAATTGCAAGAAATGATCACTCATTGAAAGAAAAACTAAACTGGACTCACTGTTTTCAGGCTTAACAAGTTTACATGAATTAACTGTTTGAATGAAAAAAAATATCTTTTGGTTGTTTTGTCATCAAGACGGAATATAATCTGCAGTAAATAACCATTTAGGAGCCTTTAGTAAACGATTATTAACTTGTTTTATGGGTTCTCACTCTTTTTACCATAAGTTCACTGATGTCTCCAACACAAAATCGAAGTTAGCCTTTAATCCCCCCAAACCTTTTATTTTGATGTTCTCAAGGTAAAACTGATTTATTTTCTAATTAAGCTTTAATTAGGAGAGTCACCCCCCCCCTCTGTATCAACTGTACCATCAATCCATCCATAGAAATTTACTATAAAAAACTTTATGTTGTCCAACTGATCTGCAGTTTGTATTTAGAAAACTAGGACATTTAGTTCTGAAAATATAGAGGAACTTTGAATTCTTCTCTGACCCTATTTTGTTGTTCAAATACAGGGATTGACTTCAAGATCAGAACCATAGAGCTGGAAGGAAAAAGAGTCAAACTCCAGATTTGGTAAAGTCTCTTTTTAATCGTTTAGTCATTTCTAAAATAAAAGACAAACTGTTACAATAAGAGCAGCAGCTCTAACGTTTATTTTCTTCCTTCTGATGTCAGGGACACTGCAGGACAGGAAAGGTTTCGCACCATTACCACAGCATACTACAGAGGCGCCATGGTAAGGCCATGCTCTTCTTAACCTGCTCACTCTAAATCTACCCCCATCTTTTTCACCTCATGGCTTACTGATGTAGTCTTTTTCTTTCTTTTTTTCTCCTCCTCAGGGAATTATGTTGGTCTATGACATCAGCAACGAGAAGTCCTTCGACAACATCAAAAACTGGATCAGAAACATTGAAGAGGTGATTTCAAACTTCAGAATAAAAATGGTTTAAGATGTTCTGCTTTACGTCTGCTTTGTGCTTTTAGCATTCTTTTCCTTTAAATGAGCCTTTCTAATATTTCCAGCACGCCTCATCTGACGTGGAGAAAATGATCCTGGGTAACAAATGCGACATGACTGACAGGAGACAGGTGTCGAAGGACCGTGGTGAAAAAGTGAGTCTCTGCAGCCTGCACTCACAGTAAAACCTTCCAGAAAGCAAATGCAGTTTGGAAATAAACCAAAACTAAAACTGTTAACTTAAATCTCCCTCAGCTGGCCATCGATTATGGAGTGAAGTTCTTAGAAACTAGCGCCAAGTCTGGCTTAAATGTAGAAGAGGTAAGTGGAGCGCTTTTATTCTAAACATAAAGCTGGAAAGGAATAAAACTTGTATTTACAGACTCTGTGGGAATAAAACTACGCACCTCACCTCAGTGGAGCGGAATTCATGTGATATCAAAACACAAAGAAGGACATAAACTATGAAGACTTGTATAAGCTGTGTCATCTTTTACACTTAAAAATCTGAAAAATTTTGGATGCATCTTTGAGTCAATACAAAGTGCGCTACTCAGACTTTGACTAGGCCATTCAAACACATGCGTATGCTTTGTTTGAAACCGTTTTATTGTAGCTCTGGCTCTATGTTTAAGTTAATTGGAGGCTGAATCAGCTCCAGAAATTATTTTTGCTCCCAATAGATTTAGATATGAAATTATTTAAGTCCGATTAAGTGGATTGTTTCAGTTAGAAAATAAAAAGAACTTCTAACAAAAGGTAAGAAAACCGTTTTAGAGGATTATTGAAAACAAAAAAATGTATTAATTCAAATAAATCATGTCAAAAAATGGCTTTAAAACAATTAAACTGATACCTAAAATGCTGACCAGCTTTTTGTTTGTAAATGTAAATGTAAATATAAATCAGTGGTTCCCAAAGTGTGGGGCGCGCCCCCTAGGGGGGGCGCAATGCCATTGCAGGGGGGGCGCGGGAAGCGGTATGGATGAATGAAAAAAAAAAAAAAAAAAAAAACAGTGCTTGCTTGACTGAGCATAATGGACAGTTGTGACACTG